TTGTGCCCTTGAAAATATTCCCTGCCGATACGAACTTTTACGGGAAGACTGAGAGAGTGGTCCTTGGTTGTTGATCAGACTACATTATACAAGGCAGGCACATTAAGTAAATGCAGAGCCTTCGAAAGTTGCTCTGACTCCTTCTGATTGGAAGGCTATGAATACTGTGAGCATCCGCGGATGGGAGCTGTCCCACACCCACCTCGAGCTGTGATAAAGACAGGACTCCTAAAAGCAATTGTAAGTGTGAACAAGCAAGTGAGATTGTTCGGAACCGCTGAGTGACCGGACTGGGATATGACTTCACTGGCGCACGCTCTCTTGCAATTGAAGCGGTGAAGAGGGCGGAAAGATGAGGCCAGAATATGTGACAAGACAACTGAGATCTATATGGGATATGCTGCTCCAATCGGCAGGGCAGTGCCATCGAGAGGGCGCCACGGCAAATTACAATCGTCTTGACCGTCTACCGAACGGCTCCTTGCCTCCGACCAAACAGCAGTTCCCAATAGTGTGGTCCATCTTTCCCGCGTCAATTTTCTCCCGCATTTGCTTCCAGCGTATGCGAATGTTCGAGCCAGTGTGACGAACGGGGTGGGGGGAGGGGAAAGGGAGGGCGCTAGCCATGAGACATTCATTCATAACTTTGGTCCTATTGAAACCATACAATGAACCTTCAACACACGGTATGTTCGTCTGAAAACCTTCATCAATCAATTTCATGCCGAAAAAATAGCCAAGTGCGTTCCAGCGAGACGAGTTGAAGACAGACCACACCCACTTTTACTATCTCGTTTTAACAACAACAGATTCAAACATAACAAGTAACAACAGAGGGCAACAATCTAACAACGAAAGGGAACTTGAATGGGGGGAGGGTAGCTTAGGGGGTTAGGGTCAATTGCTATCGCTCCAATTTCCCAGATCCTCCAACAGTTGGTCTGGTATCGTCTCATCAGCTCGATCAGCTGCCGCGGTTGACATACGCTTTTTCTTAATTGGTTTCGTCTCCGCTTTTGCTTCCTGAAGGAACAGAAAAATTGCGTGGAGACAGACTTTTCTGGAAAGAACTGGATACCTTTTTGCCTTCCTTTTCTTTCTTCTGGGGCTTCTTAGCGGTACTGGCGTCCTTGGCAATTTCTTTGTTGTTCGACTAAACATAACAATCTACGAATAAAATAGAAGGAAATGGTCAACAAATTACCGCAGTCAGCATTTGTTGCTTCAAGCGCCACGCTTTTTCCCATTGACGGTAAAAGACCCGTAGAGGTGAGTCGGGATTGTTGAGCGCTAGTTTCAACGACATCTGCAAAACGACAGTAGCTTTAGGACTGATCCAAACAAGGACAACCGAACTCACAATTTGCATATCGTCTTTGATGCTGAACTCTTTCATGAGAAGAACGTCCGCGACGAATTTTGCCTGCTCTTCAAGTTTTTCTGACAGAGATCGAAAACATCTAGCGTATTCAGCCGAACGAATCTTCCGCAAAAAGTCTCGAATCTGCACTAATAGGGTTAAAAAAGGATAGAAAACTTAAAGTGTATTTTTTTCATCGCCATGTACAACGTGGAATCGTCATCATTTGTGGGCGCGACGTTGGAAGCGACGCCCATCAGCGCGGCGAATTACGGTTCTTTTGTCACGTAACCCAGACAATGTATAACCGGAAAATAGCAGTGATGTCTACGATGTGGCAAGCTACTTGAACTGCGGTGCTCCATTCAGCAGGCTAAGGCATATCACAAGAACGCCGCGCCCATCGCCGTGCGTGGCGGCAAATTACGATTGTCTTGACCGTCGCCCCTCACAATGAAAAGATGTGAAATGAGCCCGCCCGCCAATGGTTTCTATCAAAAGCCGCTCGCTCCGGAGCGGCAACTGTATGGGCGAATTCTTGGCCATGTCCCTGGTGCGAGTTGATGCCTTTTTTTCGAAATCGATCTTTGAGATTTGAAAAAAAAATGCAGACAGTATTCCATACATTTGAACTCTGAGTTTCGAACGAGCCATGAAACAATACAGCTTGCATCGCACTGTCATGGACCCAAGCGGCTGGTACGGCGACCACGCCAAAGCGACGGCAAAGCATCAATGGTTCGCAGTAAACCACATCATTGAAAGTGTGCCTTGGTCAAATCCTCGTAGTGGGTTTCCCTCATGGAAGTCACGTAGAGGTGCGTGAATCTAATCGTTGCCCGGACTGATCCTTCAAGCTGGCGTTGTCCGCACTAAACTGAAGCTAACGAGGCGCTCGAACAGTTTGCGAACAGCTTGACGGTATTTTGCTCATCCTCTCCGATATCATTTTTCATGACACACTGAACACTGTATGACTCGAGTAAAACCCATAAATAAGCAGGTTGCGACTGTCCCGTGCTGGTTCCACTGCTTGGTGCAGGGGGATGGTTCCAAAAAATAGCGAAAAGTATGCAGAGGAATTG